CCTGCCGATTTTTTTTAAACTAAAAGATTTTTACACAAATCATTTAAAAAAAAAAATAGGAAAATCTCAAACCGGAAGTTGAAAACATAATCTTTATAAAAAAAAATTTTTTTTTTCTTTTTCTTTTTCTCACAACATCCGGATTTTAATCTCATCAATTTTTATTTTATTTTTTATTTTATTTTTTTCCTTTGATAAAAAAAAGAAATAAAAGTTTCCAAAAAAAAAAAAAAAAAAAAAAAGAAACCGGACAGAAGATATCTCTCTCCCTCTCCCACTCTCTCTCTTTCTCTTTCTAATTTTGGATAAATTCCAGAAAAGTTCACAAAATCAACGAACCAATTAAACCGGGGAAAACTTTTTATTGAAAAAAAAAAAAAAAAAATGCAAACTGAAACTTCCGACAGGAAGTTCTGTTTAAAAAAAAAAAAAAAAAAAAAGATGGTTTAATGTTCAAACTTATTTTAATTTATTATTATTTCTCTCCCCCCCACCTCTCCAAAAAAAAAAAATTTTCCCAATTTCTTTTTTTTTTTTTTTTCTAAAAAAAAACTTTTTTTTTTTTTTTTTTTCAATCTAATTTAAGAGGGGAGAGATTTAATTAGATTTAACCCGTTTACTTCTTTTTACGGGCCAAAAAAATTCTTTTTGTTTGTTTCTGAACACAATTTCCCCTCCCCCCCGGATTTCCCCCCCGATTTCTACCCCTTTTTTTTATGAATTATGTTTGTTTTAAAATCCCTTTTAGGAACATAATAATGATAAAACAACATTTTATTGTAAAATCTCCGTTTAAACATAATAAAACAAAAACAAAATAAATAAAAATTAATTAAATAATGACGTCACTGATTATATTATAATTTTTAATTAATTAATTAATTATTTTCAAAACCATTGAAAATCACCATCATTATTATTATTATTATCATCATCATCATCATATTTTTTCTAAAACTTTTTACACCGTGTGTTTTTTTCAAAAAATTCATTCAATCATTCATTCATTCATTCATTCAACCTCGATTAACAGAAGAAATTTTTTTCTCATTCAAAATCTTTTAAAATTAATATTTCAATAAGTTTTAATTTTTTTTTTTTTTCTTTTCATTTTACAAGTATAAATCATTATTATTATTATATTAAAAAATTAATTATTCATAATTTATTAAAAAATAATAATAATAATAATAATAAAATTTGTAATTAATTATTCATTTAATGCAACGCGCGCGCGTTCGTTGATTAAAAAAAAAAAAAAAAAAAATCTGGTACAAATTGTTTCTTTTTTTTTTTTTTTTTTTTATTAGGTTCGAATACCATTTAATGCGTTTTGGTAACCAATAATAATAATAATAATAATGATTAAAAATCTCGACACGATTATCGATAATAATCGAAATTTTTTTTTTCTTTTTAATTTAGGTTCGAATGTGTTTTACTGGGTCTTCTCGTTGGGAATTTTTTATTTAATAAATTTAACTCATAGCGAATCCATTGAAATCGTCACGCCGGAATCGAATACGGTGACTAAAAAACCAACCAATCCTCCGTACGTTGGTAGTGATAATGATAATGACAGTAAGAACAACAACGCAAACAACAAAAACAAAACAATCGATTGGAATAGTAACGATAGTTACATAAATGCTTATTTGGAACTTAAAAGAAAAATTCCGGCGAGGAGAAAAAATGATGATGGTGGTGGTGGTGGTGATGGCGACGACTTATCAACGAGTCCGACAACACCAAAAACATCATCATTATCATCACCTTACAACACGGTCATACGTTCTTCTTACCTACCTGAAAATAAATATCCTTCCATCACGCAACAACAACACCAACAACAACAACAAGAATATTGGACACAAGTTCGTCCTTCTTACCAAAATTTATATCCGGTTTACGGTCCTGTTAATCACCACCCCCACCCTACCCAACACCACTACACCCACCACGAAGACGTTCTTCCTCATTCTTCGTCATCATCGTGGCATAATAAACCATACTCATCGGGAGCGGGTGGTCTTTCTCTACTCTTACCTTTTTTACCTAAAAAAATATCAATGAAATTAATTTTTAAAATTTTACTTAAATTAATTTTATTTAAAATGTTTGTTAAATTCGTTGCCGTCGTTTGTTTGTTATTGTTCATACCTTTGTTGGAATCTAAAAAATCAATGGGAGGAGGAGGAGGTGGTGGAAGTAATACAGATGACGAAATGAAAAAAATTGAAAAAATCGATTACATAACCAACATAATATGGAACAGCATAGAGAAAAAGAAAAAACATTACGGTAACGAAACAACAGCAGCAACAGGAACAGCAACAACAACAACAAAGCCGGAACCAACGGAAGAAGAAATCGAACAAGATAAATTAGAAGCAGAAGAATTACAAGAAATAAAAAAAATTGCAGATGTCATCGACATGGAACCCAATCTCCCAGGGTAAGACATTTTCTTTTTCTTTTTTTTTTTAAAACGTAACAAATGCAAAAGGAAAATCGAATAACAAAAAATCGGAAAAATCACGTAAATAATTTCTCTTTCTCCCGCCATTTTTTTTTTCTCTTATTCATCTGCTCCCACGTTTCTAAATTGTCTGGAATTTTTTTTTTTTTTTTTACCAACAGAGCTTCGACTATTGGATTTTTACGTAGATGTGCTTCATTTATGAACGCCATTTCAAACATAATGCTCATGTATGTTAAAAGACAAAACAATCCACAAAGCCATTGGACAACACGTTTTATTCAAAGACTAAGAGAATATTGTAAGTTTTTCATTTATTTATCATTATTATCATTAACATCGCCATCATCATCATCATCAACGTCACCATGAACGTCATCAACGTCATCATAATCGATCGAATCCTTTCGCCCGTTATAATTAATTTAAATTTTCTCGTAATTTTTTTTTAAAAAACATTTCCTTATACGGTTAAATAATTTAATATTATCATTATCATTATTATTATTATTATTATTATTATTATTATTATTATTATTATTATTTATTCAATTCACGAATTTAAAAAAAAAAAAAAAAAATTTAACGAGTTCAAACCAAACACATGTAAATATCTGTTCTCATTTTTTTCCTTTTTTTTTTTTTTTTTGATTCTTTTTTCCTTTTTTATTTTTCCTTTTTTTTTCTTCCTTTTTGATCGAATACAAAAAAAAAAAAAGGAAAAAAAGCGTTTTAAAAAAGGATTTCTGTCGTTTTTTCCTCTCTTACTTTTGTTTGTAATACTTAAAAAAAAAAAAAAAAAAAAGTATTGAAAATTTAAATAACGTCTTTAAAAAGAAAAGAAAAAATTTTTTTTTTTTTTTCATCATTTTCCCGCTCTCATCTTCCTTGTTCTTATTCGAATTTTACCGAAATTAACCGAACTTTTCCGAATTTAAACCATATGAAGAGAAAGGGTAAGAGAGAAGGAAAAAAAAAAGGGGAAATTAAAAAGACCCTGCGTGCTCATAAATTCATTACGAACGCGTTAAACATTTTAAAATTAATAATATTTAATTTTTTTTTAAAAAAAAAAAAAAGGAAAAACTTGGTAAAAAAATTTTTTTTTACATTTTTTCCAGGCGTCGTAAAATTAATAACTATAATAATAATAATAATAATAATAATAATTAACGAACCCGTCATTAGTATTAACAAAAAAAAAAAATAATAATAATAAAAAACCGTTCAAATAAAAATAATAATAATAATTTCACCCAACTCCCCCCCTCCCGAAAAACAAAAATTTTAATCGTTTTTATTTATTGCTCTCTAAATTTTTTTTTTTTAAATGCCCGCATCGTTTTTTTTGAAATAATGATAATGATGATGATGATGGAATGGAAAGATTTTTAATAAAAAAAAAAAAAAAAATTAATTATTCCCCACTTAATAATAATGTTGTTAATTCCCGTTTAAACCTTTTTTTTTTTTTTTGTTTTTTTTTTTGTTTTTTACACGTGATTCGTATCGCTTAGAGGGTCAAAAATTTTTAAATTTTCATTCAAAACAATTTAAAAAAAAAAAAAAACATGTCAAAACAACAATAATAATAATAATAGTTAAATTAATTTTTTTTTTTCAACGTCATAACATATTCAATACCCGTATTTGCGCTCGCCCGAACGCGCGCGAGCACAAAATTACAAAACCTACAAACGTTTGAGCGGGGGGAGGGAGGGGGAGGAGTCAAAACTTCAAAAAAAAAAACGACCTAAATATATATATATATATATATATTTTTTTCTTTTGTTTGTGTGCCTGAGAGAGAGAGAGGGAGAGAGAAAGGGAGGAAGGAAGAAAGAAAAAAAAATTTAAAACTATATTTCATAATTTTTTATTTAAAAAAAAAAAAAAAAAAAAAAAAAACTAAACTAAAGAGATCCTCAACAAAAAATCTCGAGTTGAAATTATTGTTAAAATAAAAACAAAATAATTCTTTTTAATGGCATCGTATAAAATTTAGATTTTAAAAAAAAATGAGTTTTGGTTAAGACAGACCCGTATCTCTCTCTCTCCCCCCTCTTACGCCCCCCCCACCCACCTCTCGTGCGACGCCCCCTAACGCCCTATTGCCCCTCAAAATAAAAAACCAATTTAAGTGGGTTAAAAATAATTATTTTGTTCTTTATAACAAATTTATTTTACATTTTTGTTTTATTTATTTACAAATAATAAAAAAAAAAATTTTTTTTTTTAAATTTTATTCCAGTTGGACAAACACGAGGATGATGATGATTACGATAATTCAATGAATGATTGATTGAATGAATGAATGAATGAATGGGAAAAAAATAACGAAATATGAACAACATCGACATGAACTGCAGCTATCACAACGACAACAAGAACAACCACAACAAACAATTTCTGTTTGATGTGTAGATTGTTTAAGCATTAGCATGACAGACTTATGTTTATTTATTTATTTATTAATTAATTTATTTATGTATTTATTTGTGACGTTTTTGTTTTAAATAAATTTTTATTTATTCCATTTTGCCAAAATCGAATAAAATGGCAAAAATTAAAAAAAATTTCCTATTTTTTCTCATATTTGTAGAAAAATGATTTCGTAATCAATTAATAATTTATTATCATTATCATTATTATTATTATTATTATTATTATTATTATTATTATTATTAAAGTAAAACGGAAAACAACGAAAAAAAAAATAATAATAATAATTTTTTTTGTTCCGAATTCTTTTTCTTTAAAAATAAAACTTATTTAAATTTTAAACATGACAACTTAAACAAACTTTAAAACAAAAAAAATAAACAATAATAATAACAATAACAATAATAATAATAATAATAATAATAATAATAATAATGTTTTTCAAAATTTAATACAAAGTTTTTATTTTTTTACTTTTTTTTTTTTTTTTAAATTTAAAAAAAAAAGTTTAAAAAAAAAGAAAAAAAAAATTCAAAATTTAAAAATGATTTCGACGACATTTTAAGTATCAGGTACGTTTTTTAATTAATATTTTTTTAAAAAATAAATTACCACAGTTGTTGCGACAACATAATCGTCAACATTTTCCGCCTTCCCTTTTCTTTCAGGTACGCTAAAGAATATTTTTGTTTTTTTTTGTTTATTCGATAAGGAAAAATCCAATATGGATTCCGACGCAATCATATCAACGTCAAACGAATATAATTTTACGACGGATGACACTCAAACGGCAAATGTGACATTGGTCAGTTGTAGCACGTGCAATAGAAAGTTTTTCCCAAACAGGCTCGTCATTCATGAGAAAATATGTAAAAACAAAAGGAAACCTCAAGTGTTTGACATACACGCCATGAGAATAAGAGGAACCGTAATGGAAAAATTTAAAACTCAAATTAAAACAGAAGTAGGAACTACTATTATTATTATTATTATTATTATTAACATTATCATTATCATTTATCGATTAACAGTAATTTTAATTTTTATCAATAATTTATGCGTATATATATTCGAATAGGATAAACCGATTGTTAAAGAAGTTCAATGTCCTACATGTTCTCGTACTTTCAATCCGGAAGCTGCCGGAAGACACATACCCATATGTGCAAAGTTACAAAAGAAAAATAAAAACGTCGAACAAAAAAAGCAAAAGGAAAAAAAGAATTTAATTAAAAAAAGTTAATTTCATTACAGATATTTATTTTCAGATATTAATTTTTTACTTTTTTAATTTGTATTTTAAATCGCGCGTGTGTAAATGTTCACGGCGGACATTTTGAAAATTTTTAATAAAAAAAAAAAAAAAAAAAAAAAAAACCGTCGTCGATCGAAATATAAAATAGAAAAGTTTTTAAATCATCGATTGACGATAATCAATATGAATATTTCAAGGTTACGCATCATTAATTTCGCGATAAAACGCCTTAAACTCGAACTTCGTAATACGAATAAAGCAAACTATTTCGATATAAATCAATTTTCCTACAATTTCCATCCCCCTTTCATAATTTTTCCCTCGTGCATTCCATCCTTAATGTAAGCACAGTATACAAATTTGCACCTATAAACTTAAGTAATCTGTAGGATGTTCAGAATTTTTCTAATCATAAATGAAATTTAAATTTGACAAAACATGTTACAATGAAACAAACTAACTTAAGAGAAGGGTTAAAGTAATGTACAGTCAATAGATTCACACTTAAAACAAGAGTACAGAGATTTTATATTCACCTGATACCTCAGATTAATTAAATACGAAAATTTTTAATACTTTTAATGGCAAAATACGTTAAAATGTATCAGGCAAACATAAAAAAATGGGGGTGTACAGGGATTTTATATTTTTCTGATACCTTAAATTGATAATTATAAACTATGTTGTATTGAGACAAACTAACTCAAGAAAAGGGGTAAAACAACCAACAATCAATAAATTAACCCTTAAAGTGAGGCTCTTACTTGTAATAATCAAATGTACTAATACATCTTCTAGATTTTTTTTATTTCCCACGCTTCCTTTTGACACATGACAAACCGTTGACTACTTTTTAAATTTAAACTTAAAATAATATAATTATCACTTAAATAATAACAAAAAAACTAATTATATCACAATAAACTAAACTCAATTAAACAAAACCTATAACTAAATTTTTAAATAAAACTATATTAAAATTAATTAATTAAGTTGACATGAATTGTAAACGCGTGTCAACCATCGTAGAACTCCCCCGCGCCCTCTCTCATTATTATTATTATTATTATTCTATTATTAGTTAATAACTACCGTAAAAAAAAAAAAAAAAAAAATTTATTTTTTTATTTTTTTATTTCGTACGTCCATTAAAGTCGAGCCAAATGAGGATAATTTTCTTTTTTTTTTCTTTTTTTTTTTTTTTCATACCGGAAATAGTAAATTTTATGGGTGTGGTTTTCATACCCCCGTAGGGGGTTAATAACGTGTGAGATTTTTTACACGAAGGTGTTATAAAAAAAAAAAAAAAAAAAAAAACTATGGGAATATGAGTTAATTAGAATTTATTAAACGTGTAAATCACGAGGAAAAAAAAAAATGAATTATTTTTAACTTGTTTGAGATTTTTTTTTTTTTTTTTTTTCCTGGGGGGGAGGGAGGAATAAGGGTGTTGGTAAAAATGTTTATTCCTTTTCGGAAAATAACAAAATGATATAAATAAAAATCCCAAAAAATTTTCCTCATTCAAAAATTAAAAAAAAAAAAAATGTCAATATGCCGAGATGAATTTTTTTCTCTCTTTCATTTCTTGTTGAAAAGAAAATAATTAACTAATTAATTATTTAATTAATTAATTAATTAATACGAGAAAATCTGATTTTGATGTCGGCGC